AGCGACTTGACTTCACTCATCTGATAGGATGTTAAATGCTAAGGCGCTGTCTTGGCTAATCCGATGTCACCTTTTTCCCCTTGCTGCTCTTAAAATACCACGAACCTCTGTGTGGCAAGCCTCGCTCTTCACAGCAAGACAGCGGTAAGCCAATAGATGACATAACTGGCACTAGCTTTGTGTGAGTGCTAGGTAAACTGAGCAGATGAGCAGCCTTAATTATGACACGTCTTACCTTTATGTTAATATTGTCTTATTTGATGCACTCCACTTTGAACTGCACCAATCCAGCAACTGCTGCATTGTAATAACTAGTATTAAAGATGAATACACCAATATTTGCACAAGAATAATTTCTGTTTTAAACTCTCAGTGACACACTTTGCAGGGGGGATTTGGCATTTAATTTTTCTTGGCGTCTGGAAAAACATCTCCTTTTGCCCCTTTTATTTGACTTTCTGCCCCTTTTACTTTGGTCCAAGATGATTACTGGGCTGGCCCTATTAAAAACCTTCTACACCCCTGCTTAGTAGACTTAATGACGTATTTTTAAGCCAGTATAAAAATGACTGAAACACAAATTTACATATTTGGCATTATTGACCAATATCTTTGATTTAATTTATTTGTTAAGAACATCAAGATGCATTACAGTGAACATTAAAATAAAGTACATTTTTCTAGTGCAGACAGGAGACAACCAATAGAAGCACTGATTTGATCTCATTGCAGAGAAAAATAGAACAGGTCAGATGCACCTAATAAATAAAATTACTAACAAACGCAGGAATCTGTTTCTTTGCTTCATTGTTCTGGTGCTGAAAATATCACTAATGCGGATCAAAGGAGATACACAGATGAATGCACCTCTTATTTATTATTTGGAAATTAGTGGGTGTGGTTTACATCAATACATTATTTTAAATCTGAAATTGATATGAATTGATCAGAAGTTGTTTGTTCATAAACTATTGTTTATTTGAAAACTATTTACAGAGCAACCTCAGAATTGAGATTAAATATTTTTGATCACAATAGTAAAAGTATTACAGAACAAGTTTTTCAGTTAAATCAGAACATTAACATTTAAGTGCATGAATTAATGCATCTGAACTCATGCTGTAGGAACTAGGAAATATGAAATACTAGAACCAGACACAATTTATTTTATTTTAATTTGATTAAACTGATTTTTTTCCTAACGTTGTTGGCATTTTCCCCACACACAGTTAAACAAAACAATGTTGATTGAGGTGTGTGTGTGAGAGAGATAGAGAGGGAGAGAGTTAAAATAATTTTAAAAAACCCGACCGGAGCGGAGGCAGTGACCGACGCGTGCACGAGCCATTTTCAGCTTGTCTTGTCAAATGCACCACGTACGTTACAAAAAAAAGTAACTTTATATTGAACTGAAAAAGAGGCGAGCTGAAGAAAATGTAGGGAGTACTGAAAAAACGTGAGAGACAGTGAAGCAAGCACAGAGAGATCCGTTACTGCCTGTGTGTGCGCATGGATGCCTGAGCCGAGCTGACTGAGCTCCCGGCTGCAGAGTTGTGTGTAGGGAGGGGCGGGCGCTCTATGTGACTGGCCAATCACAGAGCGTTAAGACAGTCAGTTATCCAATGAGGATTCTCCTTCAGCACGATTACAGATATTTACGAGTTTTACACTCGTTGCATGCTCGTATTCGTCAAAAATGCTATATCCGTACGCTCGTCCCTAGCTGTAACCACCCTGCCCTGCCTCCTCCTCCTTGCTGCCTGCCGGCTGTGATCACAAGCAACAACTCAGTAGTTCCCATTGCTTCTTCGGGAAACGGTATAAAAAATAAAAAATCAGTAAAACGTTGGGATCTTGTAGGCGTGGCGGTGGTATTTCAGCCGTGGCGGCCCGCCACGGCTACGCTTATGTAAGGGAAACACTGTGTGTGTGTGTGTGTGTGTGTGTGTATATATATATATATATATCCTCTAATATTAGCCTGTATTTAATTAACTGCCGGGTATCATATTTTGGCCCTATCATTAATATAAAAAAAGAAACTCTAAAATAACAACATTCACATCCAGAATCTAACCCGGATCTTCTGCACAAAAGCCCGAAGTCTTATTAGGCTAGCTAAACCGCTAGTGGTGTCTTCTGTATCTGTAATATTTATATCTTTGGTGATAGCTGAAACAACGTTCAAAGAACGGTTCGGAGGGCTATGCCTGAGCGTGAACGCGCATGAAGCAGCCTGCTCGACCCGAGCAGCTCTATTTTTCTGTGATTTTACAGAAAAACAGGCAATCACAGTAAAAATGCCAGGGCTCATTCTACAGGACCAGGGCATTGCAGGAGAATGTATTAAGAAGAAATGTATTATTTCTATACATGTTTTGGCTGTCAAACTTCCATAATGCCCCTTTAAGTTTAGAATGTCTAAACTGTCATGTTAAAAATATGTAAAAAATAAATGCACAGATATTTAACTTTTCGTCCCAAGCAGATGCTGATAAAAACGATTTTTTTTTAACCATTTCTTTAGTAGGGGTGTAACAATGTGCTAAAATCGTATTTGGGTCAGTTCCTTGTTTTGAAGGCTCAGTTCAATAAATTTTTGGTATATTTTTATTTTTATGTATTTATTTATTTAATATCTGAAACTGCTCCTATAGTGAGCAGAAACAGGTGTCATCACAGGCTGCTGATCTAGCATGATGTCTTTAATAATTTCACCGGTTATTTGCGCAGCTATTAGTGTCACGCTCATACAGACAAGTGTTGTCTTTGACTGTTGATGTTCCGTGTTTTTATTTCTGCAGCAAGCCTTAAAAACTTACCTCACACCGCCCAGAGTTTCTTCTTTAAAACTCTCATTAAATAACAACCTTCCTCCGCATGGTATTTTTCGTTGTACGATGAAAACTTTACATCAATTGTCACGGGGAAAATTCAGCAGACATGTTTGTTTACATTTTTGCCGCTACGTGCCTGCAAAGTGTGAGAGAAAGGAGGGGCGACGCGACGCTCCGTTCACGGTCTCCACAGGATCCAGTAGCAGTGACAGCTAGTTGGTTTGATCCGCTCTGAAAGGTGTTCATCAGAATTTGCAGATTATATTTTTCAAACGGAGATCGGGCGCATGCAGCCATCATGCGTCACTCAATACAGCGTCTGTGCGGAAACTCGCCTAGGAACTTTTCTCTGATGCACTTTAATCACGCAAATAAAATGTTTTATTTTACAGAAAAAATAAACCGAAACGGTACACAAATGGACCAAACCAATCCGGCCTAACCCTAGCACCCCACCGTGAACCATCACACCCCTATTCATTAGTTACACTTTCATCCCTTTTGTATACTAAATATGCAAAACCACAATGCATAAGAATGACTTTGGTCTTGGACTCGTTAAGCTTCAGGAAGTTGTCAGCCACTCAGGGTTTGTCCACCTCTCCTCAGCTAAACAATGGTCAAGGAGTGAGAGAGTATTCAAATAATTCATGGACAGGTAGATCTGACAATCTTCTGCATAAATATGGTAACTTGGGCCATATTTCTCCAGAACTTTGACCAAGGGAAGGATGTAGGTAAAAATAAGAAGAGGCCCTAGAACAGAATCCTGTGGCACTTGTTAAGGGAGTGAGAAGTCAGGAGAAGAGCCATCATTAATCTGAACCCTGAAAGTTCTGTCGGATAGGTAAGAGTGGGACCACTCCAAAGCGATGCCACTTTATACCCACCCAAGACTATCCAGAAAAAGAAATCTATATTCTGATATTGATCTGGTAATTTGACTGTTCTGACACCTTTTCAGGTGGAAGAGTTAGCCATAAAGAGGCTAAAGCTAGCTTACTTCCCAACATATTCTCCCGCAGTTCTGGTCAGGTTTGCAGAAACAATAATTAACAAGATGGATAATAGATATTGTTCTGCTTTAGGCTCAGCATTTAGTCTCCTCCTTGCTCTCCAATTATTCCTCTGTCACTCACAGAAGCTGTTGCAGGAGGCTTCTGGAGAAAACCCCAGATTTTTTAGATTGCATCCACACATAAATAAGCGCTTCTTTCCATCTAGGAACTATGTCCTTGCTTTGCTTTCGTTATTGTGCTTGTAGCGACCTGTGTTTTGATGAAAACGGTTCCCCCGTGAAAAATGCTAATGGTCGTACTTCCACTTGCTGCCAGTTCCATGCCTGCTATCACATTTTACTGTGATGAGAACTGATAAATGGATTCAGCCATTAACGGTGTATATTGCAACACCATGGGAAAAAAGTATTATGTGAAATGCTAGATGCTTTAATTTCATTATTTGATGCATTTTGTCATCACACACCTCTAAATAAAACATTAGATAAACAACAGCAGCACAACATAATATACTGATGTATTAAAATAAAGTCAAAAATACAAATAGTTCAAGAGACTTAGCCAGGTCCAGCTAATAAAACGGATGAACCTATTATCTTCAAGCAGGACATTTTGATAGTTGACTGAACATAAAGCAGAAATGTAAGATCTACATTTATCAACAAGACTCGATGCCTGTTATAAATTCAGACATGTATTTTTTTTTTATTTTGAAACAAGAACAGTCTACTTTTCATGTACCTGAAAGAAGCAGGACTGAAAACATAATACAGTAACTACCAGGAGTGGTGCTCGGACTTCTGCATTCTGGCCACTTGTGTACCAATTATCTACATGGTTGATGATGTCAAAACAATACCAAGAAGAGCAGGCAACAATCATCTCTGAAAAGACAAAAATAACATTTGTTTCTTGTCATTGTAGATAATTCCCAAGTGGAAAACTTTCAACATTGTTCCAACAAGTTTATGTTCCAACAAGTTACTCTCAAAGTTTTGATTTAAGTAAACCTGCAGTGTCGTAAACAGTCAAACGTATATCTTAAAGATGACTCTGTGGCAACAGAAACACTGTTCTAAGGTTGGTTGTTATAATCTTAATAATATTTTGACTTGTTTCTTTTCTTATTTGTTTTTTCTCTCAGGGAAATGAAGCTAGTTACCCCCTGGAGATGTGCTCACATTGTAAGTATTTCTATTGAACTAGATTTTTTCTGTTCTAATCTCTGACATGACACTCAAATTCTGTTCTTTTCATCATTTTAAGGATTGATGTGATTATTTTTCACACTGATTACATTTCCTATAGAAGTGGTGATCTTTACAACGTTGTCCCCAGATAATCAAATTATAGGTCGTATGTACAGGAGTTGTTTATGGTAGATCGCTTGGAGATTTTTCGCAGAGCTTAAGAAAAGACTCACATTTCTTCTTTATAGACCTCCTTTACCTGCTCTGATGCATCAAGAAGATATCTCTACTACCCTTTGGTTCAAAAGTCCTGTAAGATGTGGATTGTGCAAATGGCCCTTTTTACACCTGGTAGTTGTTTAAATCCAGGCTGACGAGGATCCACTGCTGCAAGTGTTTTAATGAGCACTGAGATTTCTCCCGGTCCCTCTGTAGTGTAGGCGGTCCTTAGGGACCAAGTCGATGTTGAGATTGACCTCATCATTCATTTGTACCATTAGTAGTTTTTACATCAGGGCTTTGAAGTTGGGATTGCTGATGCTACGATATTAAAGGGTATGTGGGAGGCAGAGGCACAGCCAAATGTCTGTTTTCTAAAGTCCTTCTTGATCCACGTAGAACTGCAGGATTCTGCTGCAGAATCCAAATGTCACTTTTTCTGTAGTGTTTTATTTTATTTTTTATTTATTTTTTGTAGCTTTCAATTTGTTCAGCAAATTATTTAATTGTCAAACAGAAGTATAATTTACATATTTGAATGTAACCAAGATGCATGTAAAGGACCATGTCTGGTTAGAGTGAATGGTTAGGGTTTACAAAACAACACTGCAGCTTGTCCATACTTAGTGGAGGACAGGACCTTGGCCTTCCAGGCATCCCTCGGTGTGATGGCACTGCAGAGAGGCCAGCTGGATCCAGATGAATCATGACTGTAAACTGAACTAATCGAGGCTCCTCGTGTTCTGATTTAGGTCTTATCGCCATTTCCAGGTCCATTCTTTTTCTACCAGGTTCATCATGTTCACTGTGTATTTCTAGGCTTTATTCCATCTTTTATCTCTCTTGTATTTCATTTTCTTTCCTTTTAAAATCCAGTATAGACACGAGAAGCAAATACCTGTGCAAACGTTTTACTTTGTCATGATATATAACTGAGGAGGAACGATCAGAGCAAGAATGTCACTTTCAGTGTTACAAATAACATCAGATTTATCAAACTTTTAATCTTGTCTCAGAATTTTTTTTCTCCTCTTGATCTTTTTTTTTTTTTGCCGGCCTTCTGGCTCTCACCCTCCACAGACAGAACAGCTGTTGAACTTATCAACTGCTTGGACAGGCAGGCACTAGCTGTGAAGACCTTAACTCTGGCCTACCAGTTTAGAGAAGGGCATCCTGCTACACCTTACTGCTCAGTGTGACATGAACCAGCAAAGCGCGGTTCCCAATGACATGAACCTGTCACCAGACACTCCCCAGCTCAGTTTGTGGATGTCCAGTACGTCAGCGAGAGGATTTTATCTTGATGTTCTGCCCTGATAAGATTTATTGCAGACAAAGGTAATAACTCAATGCTGGCTGACATCTTGAAAAAGGCCTACCACTTCTTGTCAGTGCAGTGATTCATCATTGGTGGGTATTTCAAATGTAATATATAACTTAAATTTAATGTTCTACTTGTAAATGTATGAACATTTGAACTTATAAAACACATACACACCACTAGTGTTGCTGAAGAGCAAGGAAATGCTACTCACAGGTCCCTAAATGCATTACAGTCTAAAGAAGAAGAAAAAAAGAAAGGTAGCAGCCACTCTGAAAATATTGCAGCCCTGTCTGCAGCCACCCAAAATAAAAATAAACAGCGAGCAGCTTGCTGGAGTTCCTTGTTGCTAGGGGTTTCCCTGAGGGTGGGAGCCTGAGCCTGTCGGTGGGGTGAGTTGGGAGTTTTCTGATGACAGAACAGCTATAAATACACACCATCAATGTTGTGACCTGCTTTGTCCTCAGTTTGGTTCATGCAGGCATGTTGCATATTATCAGAGTTATCAGCCTAATGCATAGTTCTAGTGCTGCAGCTCTGCCATTAGCATACACCCTACAGCCCTGTTTCACCAATAGCCTGTAAGAGATAAGATTCATGGAATGTGAGAGGGTGTGTGCTTGTGTGTGTGAACTTCTACAGTTTAAGGAGTGGTTTTGTGCAAACCGTGATCACCGACTAGAATGTTTACATTGTTGCTGCAGTGCTTTTATCTCCTCTGTATTCATATGAATCTTGCAGAAGACCTAAAAGTACCTGCCTGGTTTTGATTTCCAGATGTGGCTCAGTTTAACACATAAGTTTTGTATGATTGTGTTTGATAAAATTAAAGAAAAATTTTGTTTTTTGACATGAAACTAAATTGACTTTTTAAAGCTGCAATGGCAAATCTGCAGAAGAAGCTAGATGTTAAACACAAACAATGTCACAGAACTCACCCCTCCCTTCGACTTTCATCCATAACCGCCGCCCCTTTTAGAAATCTCAATTTGTTTGCAGTTTAGAGAATTTTTATTTGCAGTTTGGTCACCAACTTCCTTACATGTGGGTCTAAAATGGGGAGTTCCTGCCATAGAAAGAGTTGAATAATAAATAGTACACTTCTGCATAATTGTGTGACTTTTACCCCTCAAAGTAAAAGGAATGATGCCTGAGACAAAGGTCATTAGATGTTTTACACAGCTCATACTAACAAGTATAAAAGGTGTGTCTTTCAGTTGGTTACTACACCCGGGTTTACTTAATACGACACCATTATGCTAATTGGTGCAGTGTCGTTTATCAAACTCATGTAATTACTGAGCATGTAACCATCTCATATTTACCCACCCTCAGGCCTTGTCCTGTATGCTAGTAGAGCCATAGGAAATGAGGTTTAGGCTGTAGTTTTTAGGAAAACACTCGTTTTTCCTCTTCCTCACTCCTGTTGCTCTTCTCGACTCAGGTTAGCTGTGCTAATGGAGTCACATGTCTCCATTAATGGGCAGGGAGGGCTGTTTGAGGGCTTAGCATGCTTGGAGGACACAATCATTAATGGCATTTTGGGAACATAATGTTTTTTAATAATTAAACAAAAATGGGTAGTGGAAGCCAGTTATATTTAGCAGATTTTCTGCTCACATAGTTGCACTGAACCCCCCTGGTCGCTAACTTGGTGAGTCTCATTGTAAGATGTAGCGTTTTTGCTTGAGTTAAACTGATTTCAGGTTAACTGCAGCACACAAATTTGAACTCGGGTGACAGACACACACCATCAAAGCAAAAACAGCCAAGATGCTACTAGGCCATGCAAGTGTTGGCCTTCTTTGTTCACTCAAGGGTTTGATGACATCTTTATATGTATGTGTTTTCATGCATTCACCTGCTGCATGATTGTTTAAATGTTCCTTTTCCCCTGTGTGTGTGTGTGTACGTGTGTGTGTATGTGGACTACCTTAGGGGCTAATGGGTTCCAGTTGCCTAGTAACACTGTTGTGGGTGCATACAGCATTTCTGAAAGTGTGTGTGCACTCTGCGGTGGACTATATGAGATTATCATAATCATCTCACAGTTACATCGGGTGTCCCTCAGAGCTGCTCATTAGCATAGCAGTGTGAGCAGCTCAGATGTTAGCAACCTCTCCCATTTAAAAACAAAATACATGTAGCATATATCGAACACATTTTATCTCTAGTAAATGTGATAAAACCATCTAGTCCTTGTGTTTAAAACATCTGTTAAAAAATCCATTGCATTTGCAGCATCACCACCTCATCACTGTTGTGTCCAAGCCTCAAAGCTGTAGTTTAATGCTGAGGTTAACAACATGCCCATCTTCTTTTTCTCTGTAAGCAGCTTTTCTGACGAAGACAAGTTTATTTTGCAGGTTACGTGTCTGTATTGAACCTTTCTTGTTTCTAAATGAAGAAGCAGTGGAGATGTGTGAAATCAGGCTAGAAATGTACAACATGATTGGTATTATTTTATCCCAGTCGCTTAACTTCCTCTGCCTCGTGATTCTTTGTACAGGTGTTGCAGCGATAGAAAAATACAGAACATCTCATACCTTTGCTGGCTCTCACATCCAGCAGCCACCTTTTTCACCGAGCGTTGTCATTTCGGGAACACAGCTGTCATTAAAATTAAGAGATGGTGCATTGCTTTTTTTATTATTACTTTGTTGTAAATTTGCAGCTCATTTGCAATACGTCTTGCATCGCATTTTGAGATCTTGTAATGAAAGAGCTGTGCTCGTAAAAGTTGGAAATAATTTGCTGCATACAGAAGAGTATGCATGAGATAAAAAATAGTTGAATCAGATTTTGTGGTTGGCCAGGAAACACGCAGCTGTGATGCAGTTCTGGTATTAGAAAGAGCTTAATGTTGTAGAAGGTATGTACACATATTTCTGTGGTAAATGCAGCATTTTCATGGTCTTTATGAGTTGTATTTGGCTCAGCTGGGTGCTGTGTGGATCTGGGATGCTGGCCGACGTTAGACTTGTTAGTTTGAGACAGAGCAGGGGACTCAGACTGTGTGAAGGCTGTCGTCTTTGCTAGCATGAATAATACATGTTCCTACTCTCTTGGCAACTCCTGACAGCAATAAGGGATCTGGGTACAGTGTTCAGATGTTCCCTGCTCAGCATTTATACCCAACTTTGTATGTATGTCAGAAACATCAGAGCTGGGGGTTTTCCCATTGGCATTTAATTGACCTGACTGGAATTCAGATTAAAACAGCTGTTTTGTATCAGTCACATAAGGACCTGCTTGTGTAGGAATGTATTTAATAGGGATGTAAGAAAATATTGTGATATTTTTCTGCGATATTACATTGATATTCAAAAGCCGTGTATCTAATTTTTGGAAGAATTTACATACAAACATTTGTGTGTTTTCTTTTCTTTTGCTGCAATTCAAACGCCGACCGCTAGTTGGCAGCAGTGTGCAACAGGTTTTGTTTCCACCATTG